GCCGCCTGTGTCGCCTCCCATCCATGCCTACCAAACCCACCAGTTTGCTCCATTTCGACGCGTGGAAGGCCCTGTGGGCTGCAAAAGTCCATTCGGATGGGCCGGGCCGAGACCAGTACGAGTGAGTTGGGCCGGCCCAATATGCGCAATTTTATACCCGTAACTCCGTTTTTCTTCAATATTGACAACTTATGCCCTCTTTGTTTAGGCTTAATATTATTGGCTTAGACTTTTAAGTCAGCTTATTAGCTTATATGATTTATAAGCCGGTGGATTTAATGTCCTAAGTTTAATGATGGAGTCATGCATCTACCTCATATAAGCCAAAAAAGCTTCACCAACCTAGCTTTTGGCTTAATAGTGTTAGAATGGCTTATGGCTTCAAAAAAGCCAAACGAAAAAGCCGCTTGTTTGTTTAGACTTAGACTTTTCCGTTTATAAGTTGGCTTATAAGCCTAAACAAAGAGGGCCTAGAACTTTAATTGACAACTTTAAACTACTTCCTCGGTTCCTAATTATTTGTCTCATAATGGTTAACCAAGAAAAAAAAAGAGACTTGTCGAGGATAATGGAGTAATACTCTCTCCATTCATGTGATAAGTCATTTTGACTTTTTTTTACTCAGACTTCTTAAAAGTGATCAAGATTACAAAAAATATAACAATATTTATGTCACTAAATTTATTTTATTAAATCTAAAATAGAATATATTTTGATAGTTTCTTTGTTTTATGTTAAAGATATTTCTCTATTTTACTATAAACTTAACAAAGCTAAAGAAAGTTTGACTTAAAACAAAAATCGAAACGACTTATAATATGAAACGAAGGTAGCAGTATATAGAGATCAATAGTATATATGGTTACAAATTATATCCCTTTTGATTATTTGAAACAAAACATACATGGGCTTGAATAACCTGAATACAATCCTATCTAGAAAAGTGAGGGTTTTATCCAAACCGGGGAGGGCCAATTCAACCATGGAGGCGAATTCTCGGTACACGCAAAGCTCTGTAAGCTCTTACTTGTCATGTCCCAAATACCTATCTCTCGCCAACTATTCTTATACATGTAGACATACTCAGATGAGTCATCGGTAATGTAGGCACAATTTGGCTTTAACATAGGATAATCCTTGGTTGAAATGCACATTGTGCTATTGTATCCAAGGAATAATGCATGATCATCCAAGCTCTTCATCTTCACAAGTTTTTTCCGATCAAAATCGACTCTGAACACTTCAATGTCAGTTGTCTTGAGCTCTAGATATGGATACATGTCATCATTGATACCAACGATAGGATCTAGGTCATCATCGTCATCGTCCACCTCAAGATTATTTGGATGCTCCGATGAAGATGTTGCCATCAGGTCAACATAGCTCCTCCATCTCCGTACTTGAAGGATGTCACCCCATGGCGCCCGTAGGAGGTACATGGCCGAAGGGTACCACCGTTGTGGAACTTTGCCTGTGATCTGTCTCACGATAGGAGAATCTCCATTGAGATCTAAGGTGTAGATGGATCCATCGAAGCATAGCGCGTAGAAAAAGCCATCATCATCGTTGTGAAAGAAGTCTTCAAAGCCACCGAAGCAAGGGTGTTTGTCCAGCGAGACCCACGTCCATCGCTCATCACCAGGCCGGGCGAACGAGAGCTCGCCGCACTCCATATGGGCGAGCAGCGCGACACAAGCGCCCCCACCGGTGGACGGGCTACAGGAAAGGACCACCCGATGGTACATGCATTCCCGTGCCTCATTCGCCGTGAGTAGGAGTGGCTCTGGGTCGAGCCCAGGTGTCGAACTCACGAAGACGTTGTACATCATGGCACCGTTGTTGCCTGCACCGGTGAAGCTCTTCTCCACATGGTGAATTCCGGTGATAGGAGGGAGACAGGCTTGGGCGCCGGTAATGGGATTGATGAGGCGGAGGTTGGAGACCTCGTCGGCGGTGACGATCCAACCGTGCCCCGCACCGACCACGGAGTGTTCGGTGACCACGCCGAGTGGGAAAGGGACTCGGATGGACTCGCCAGTCAAGGGGCAATGGACGACGGCGTTGTTCGGGGAGTAGGCCTCACAGGCGTAGAACAGACACGGGAGCTGCTTCGCCGATGATGGGAGAGGGAAGCGGGCGCGGCGGACGGCGGTAGACGCGGCGCACCATGAGGCACATACAGCGCTGGAGCGGATCAGGTCTGGGATGTCCAACCGCTCCATAATTATTAGAAGGACGTCCTCCAGCAACTCCGCCCAGTCGGATGACTCCATTATCCTCTCCTCCTCGGTGTCGGCGGTACAAAAATTTGGGCGTAACACAGTGGCCAGCAACAAATACATAGTGCGGGTGTACCCCGAATCCGATCCACCTAACGTCGTCCGAATCCAAAACCGTCGCGGCCACGTCACCGAGTTATCTTGGGCCGCCTGATAGCCTGGTGGTGAGGTGGACGGCTGAGATCGCTTAAGGAGCACTTCGTTTTCTCCTCATCGATCTCTCCAGCCTCTCCGCCGCGCGCCGCCGCCACCGCCACCGCCGCCGCCGCCGACGACGAGTCCCTCTTCCCTTCCTCTCCTGTCTCCTCGCCAGCCTTCCTACTGGCCACACGGCCTCGACGGTCTCCTCTAAGGATGGAGGGAGAGGATGAAGAGAGGCAGCATTCTGCGGGGATTCGCGGCTGCGCAGGTGTGGCAGCAGCGGGCGGGCTTGAGCGAGACGAGGGAAAGCGGGGAGGTGGGGGGGGGGCACCGTCGGATGGGAAGATCGAGAAGCTGAGCGCGGAGGAGCGAGTCGCCGCAGTCCTTCACCACCTGGTCGGCGCCGTCGATGGACAGGTGGACATTCACTGCTTCCCGATGGGGTACCTACCAACCCGTCTCGAGGTCGGCATCCCGGCGGCCCGGTCACCCCTCAGCACGCCGGCAGACTGAGCGGTTGAGATATATTCACAGTACATCTCTATATTCCCTTTGTTTGTTTGTTTGTTTTTGTTTTGTTTTGGAGAGAGCTATTCGCTTTCTTTGTTGTTGTATCATCAAATTGGTCACCGTTGCTACTGCATATCATCACGAGAAATGAATCAATGATGTATGCAGAAGCTAGTAGCTTCAATGGTAGTTGCATCAGAAAACAGAAAGCATACTGTGGTTCCTCATGAGGATTTAGGCACGTCAAATTAATAAGTCTAACTTATTTATGGAATCCCCTTATTTATACTATGTAGTATCAGGCTTGTGCGTTTTGGAAATTAATCACTGCAAGAAGTTTTAAAGTGTTTTCCGTTTTCCATTACAGCTATCATTTGGAGCTCCCTGCTTTATTAGATGGCCAGCATGCTCATGTTGGGTTCCCCCCTGGACAACAGCTGCAATAGTTATCAATGGTAAACAATATATACTTCCTGTGATTTATTGCTTGAAGTCCCTACAGATGGAATGTCATTTGTAGCAAGAAAACTATATGAATATGAGAGGATGATATCAAGTCCCTTAGGTGCCTTATATGAGATCTCAAAGAATTTGATGGATATTAGATTTTTTTAATGGAAAGGGTATTAGATTTAAGGGTGGAGATTTGTCTCTTGAAACTGCAAAACTTATGATCCTATTTGATGAAAGTGGAACTCCGTGCAATAGTTATTGCTATTAGAGGAATGATGATTGTTTCATTGTTGAGGAGTTAATGTTGTCGGCAATTTTGTCAGCTGCAGAAGTTATATCCAGCGCATTCCCAAATTGGTGCATTACTCGGTAGGCACCCCGAGCCTAATTTATGTAGGTCTCGAGAGTTTGAGGCGTTTGTGCCAAAAATGGCTTTGAATTGGATAGTTCATCATCTGGTCAACTTCACCTTTCACTTTCCAGAATGAAGGAGAAGTTAAAAGATGATCCTGTTTTGTTTAATATTATCATGTTTTATGCTTCAAAGCAAAAGCGGCCAGCATAATTTTTTTTTGCACAGCAGACATGATAAGCAGGAGGGATGATTGGACTCACTAGTCACCATGCATTATCTGTCCCTCTATGTACACATTTCACATCACCACTTTGAATATATCCTGATATAATTGTTCACAGAACACTGAAATGCAGTAATTGAGGCTGAAAGATGTATCTGAAACAAAGGAGATCTCTCTTAGGCCAAAACGAATTCAACATTGCACCTTGTGAGATTATACGTGGATGCTTTACATGCCTCCAATTTAGTAAGGATGCTGCTGAATCCAAAGAAAGGAGCGAAGCATTGTCTGCTGCAGCTAAGAAGTTTAAGCTCCCTTCCTCTGAAAATCTTGGAGAGATTGCTGAACATTGCAACGAAAGAAAGTGCGCCGGCCATTGTGCAGAAGAAGCTGGTCAGAAGCTCTACATGTGGACACTTATAAAGAGGAAAGAGGTACTATGCTCCATCATATTTTGGCTTCTGCAGCTGATTTTATATAAGCTTTGATTTGAAAGGCTTCTAGTTCTAGTTCTACTTTTGCAGCTCCTTGTTGCCGATGCTATAGTTCTGGGGCTCAGAACAAAGTTCATGTACGTTTATGTGCCCAAACTAACGGTATATATTTGCCTAACCTCATGGGAAGCACTTTCTTTTGTTGCTGATCGTTTTACTTTGCCTTGATACGATTAATCTTTTCTATGTAGATGGAACGGAGGATACATTATGATGAAGTTGAGAGCCTATCTATTGAGTGCTTGGAAGCCACTGGAATGTTGGTGCTTGAAGCATGCAGGAACAGGCCTCCTCAAAGGAGGGGAAATCAAGTGAACTGGTGAAGTATAGAGCTTTTGAGGAAGTCATCATGGTGATGAACCCATGAAGTTGCTTTGGTGGTTATTTGGTTAACCCGTCCGAATTGATGTTATCTGAAGAAAATGAGAAATCTGGAGCAACAGAAGCTGGTTGTGACACTGCCAAGTCAGTTTTGCTGGGTGATGAAGCCGTGAATGCTCTAGTTGCCCTGGCTGTCCTGCCTCCGGTGATACAATTACTCGAGCGAAGTTCCTGTGGCTCTTCATGCGACTCTGCGGTGGACACTGGAGTTTTTACATTCTCTTTGGTGAACAACAGTAATAAAAATGATAGAAGAGTAGCATTTAAAAGTTCCTTCAGAGTTCATCAAGCAAATATCAACTTATAGTGTTGTAGATGTTCCATTGACCTCAATGTCAAGTAGTCTTCTTTTTTACTTCAGGCCACTTGACCAAGTCCCAGATTCAGTTTTGACAGAAGAAAGACTCTGTATCGGTGATGTATTTGTCAGTTGATCCTTCATCAGCTTGTCCGGAGCTACCTGCAGTTTTTTTTATAGTGGTGAACTCTTACACATGTTTGTCATGTTGCTTTGTTACTCTGGTGAAGAAGAAAAATAGTATTGAAGTTTCATTTGAATGAACATCTTCAGGCTCTTTAAATCTTGAGCAACTACCATTTGTTCCTTCAAAAAATCAAATCTGAGCTTGAGTTGAGAAGCGAAATATGATAGTACCACCTCGAATATATATAGATCATATCGTAAAAATGCAGCTTCCTGTACAGTCAAACAATCTCAGAATTTCTACCCAAATCCTACCTCCATGACATCACGAAACAAACTGCAAATTTCTGTTTCTAACCCAACAGTTGTCTGGATTTCTCTGCACATCCTATTTCTAACCCAGGAATTGTGAACTGTCTAACATGGATTCTAAGCAGAGAACATTTCTAACCCAGGAATTGTGAACTGTACATCTACTCACAGAACTGTCTGCTGACCCAAAAACTGTTCCCTCTGAACATTTACTCTCCTGACCCAAGAACTGTTTGCTCACTTCCCATGGATGTTCTTCTTATGACGGTAGTAGTCGGCAAGATTTTGGAAGAAGTTGTGGCAGTAGGAGCATTCCACCCTGTCCTTGCTGCGCATCAGCTTGCGATGGCAAGTACAGTAGTGGGGCCTCATGGAGCCTGACGACAAACTCCGTGGTTTCGAGCCCTCGAAGCAGCTGGTGCACGGCTTCTCCCCTCTCCCTGCCTGATCGCACTCGACGAAGAACGAGAGGAGAGGGCCGTGCTGCGGAGGTGTCTCGCCGGCGACGATGGAGACGGGCGGCTCCTCGTCTTCCTCCTGCAATGCCGCAGTCTTGTCGGTGTCGGCGTCCCAATCTTGATCGAAGCCCTCCCAATCTTGATCGAAGGCGTCCCAATCAGGCCAATCGGCGTCGTCGGCGTCATCGTCGTCGTGCATTGGTGGCTGCAGCAAGTGGGCGTCAGGGGCGGCCTCGCCGGCGTGGGCGACGGCTTCTTGCAGTGGTGGCTGCAGCCAATGGGCGTCAGGGGCGGCCTCGCCGTCGCCGACGTGGGCGACGGCTTCTTGCAGAGGTGGCTGCAGCCAATGGGCGTCGGGGGCGGCCTCGCCGGCCTGGGCGGCGACTTCTTGCGGGGGTGGCTGCTCACCGGCGACGAGGAGGGCAGCGCCGCCCTTGTCCTCCACCGCCGCTCCCGCACCCTGGAGCTGCCTCCCGGCATTGTTGTTGGAGGCGTCGGGGAGGCCACGCTTCTTGTCACCGTTCTTAGCGTCGGGGAGGCCGCTCTTGTCATCGGCGACGGCGGAGGCCCCCGCACCCTGGAGCGGCGCTTCCCGATCGTTCTTGGCGTCGCCGTTGAACGCACCCTTGCCATCGGCGACGGCGGAGGCGCCGACCTGCTCCTCCTCTGCCCCCAATTCTTGGAGCCACCGGTAAGCGCCGTGGCCGCCCTCGTCGGCGACGAGGACAAGCCTGTCCACGTCGTGGGGCGGCAGGTGTTCGTCGGCGACGCCCCCGCCACCGCCCACCTCGTCCACCATGCTGAGCCCTTCTTGAATCGGCATCAGCGTCCCCGCGTCGACGATGCCGTCGTCCTCCTCTAAAACCTCGCCCCGCTCGACGACGCACTGCTTGATCACCTCGGCGAACTGGGGAAATGGGGAATGCGTGGTATTTGATTTCTTGTTTGATCCTGACACCGAAGCAGAGGAGGGGAGATTTATAGTGAGATTTGTATTGAGCGCTTGTGGCTTTGTGGGTTCCTCGCGGATGGGAGAACGGGAGAGGCTGCAATGGCTTGATCCACCGTCCAAGCGAGATCCGACGGATATAATTAAACGATATTGGTTACCGTTAAACTTAGTTCATGGAGGGAAAAGCTTGCGTACCTGTTAATTTATTTTTGTTATCTGTACTTTGTTTAAGGTAGTGTTTGTCTAATTCTTGCACTTGGTGGTTTTTGCCTACTCATTTTTTAACCAGGAAATTAACCAGAGTAGAATAAAGGAACGAGTCCATTTTATAACTCCTTTGTTTTGTGGTAATATAGAAAACTAATTCTGAACTTTATAATTGAATATACTTCAACTTTCGACTCTCAAAACCATGAAGTTTTTTACTTGTGCCTGAATATAGAGCTGTTTTGGTTGATGTGGTGTAAACCAAAAACTAATTTTGAGTTTTTAAAACTATTTAAAGAGTAGAAAAAAAGTATTTCTCGCTAAGTTTTTTTTTTTGGTACAAGTGAAATAGCATACAGTTGGCTTACGAACAATAGATTGAAAGCTAAATAAACACTATTTTTTGAAATGGGACGAATATTCTTTATAGCATTGTAGATTGAATTTATTAGTTTAAATTTTCAAGGCGAATAAGTCTATTGTGCCTCCCTCAACTTATGCCCATGGTTGAATCGCATCTCTCAACCGCAAAAATGGGTATAGCCCATCCCCAAACTCCCAAGACCATTGCAAATCGACTCCACGGGTGGTTTCGTCCAACGTGGAAGTTCACTCATCATTTGACCCTTGTCATTAGGTGGGACCCATTCGTCAGCAGCTTCCACCTCATCCCATATTCTCCCTCACCTCTCTTCTCCCCTCTCTCTCTCTCTCATCTCTTCCTCCTCTCACCTTCCATCAGCATAGAGGCAGGGCGGCGGCGATGGCGCATAGGGGAGGAGCTTGCTAGCCGACCGGCCTCGCCGCGCGCGGGTAGGAGCTAGCCGGGTGACCGCATGAGGGAGGAGCTCGTCGACCGGCCGCACGCGGGGAGGAGCTCGTCGGCATAGTGGCAGCCAGTACCCTCGTTGATCTCCTGCAACGGCCCGACTCGAGCACCTAGAGGAGGTGGGAGGGCGAATGCCAAATGGAGGACGTCGAAGCTCGAGGAGGTCGCAACGGCTGCGTACCGGCTCCGTCCGTGTCAAACCAGCGATGCACGGTCCGCGACCCCCGCGCTGCAACCGTTGGCCTCTGCCCCGGCTACCGAGATCACTAGGGATGTAGACGGCGACCGGCATCGGCGAGCTTGCAAGAGAGCGATGCTAGGAGCGGTGTTCGAGAGCTATTCCAAAAATTGCCACCGCCGCCGGGCGAGCTTCGGCTTCCTCTGACAGCCTCGGGGGTCTCGCCGGGGCGCATCTTCTCCGACAGAGGGCGGAGCGTGCCGTCAGCGAGGAGCTGCTCGGTCTCCATCAGCAACACGCCTTGCCGGTTGCGGATCCGGATGGTGGCGACGTGGATGGTGCAGACGACAGGGTGCTGTTGCTGTGACGGTGGAGATGAGCACACTCCTAGCTCATCCCAACACCTATTGAGTTGTGATCCAAATTCATTTGCATATAATAAAGGCCAGCTTCTGCTGAAGAGAAGCGGAGACCCGTCACTGGAGGCTTGGCCCGGATATATATACCTCTTCTAAGCCGTCGTTCGGCGTTATAACCTCACCCTGATATAGTGAAGATATTTTGCTGGCTGGCGCTCGTGGTTTTTTCTCTCTTGTTTTGGAAGGGTTTTTCATGTTAAATCTTGTGTCTTCTGTGATTGATATATTGTTATTTATCGTTTATTTGCCTATCGTTTCCTAAGTCCTAACAGCACCGTGCCCCAAGACGCTAGCACAACCAGCAAGTCGAGCGTCGGGAAGGCCAGCGGCCGCGACGGCAACAATGGCCGCATCGGAATTAGCCAGTGCCTGCGCTTTTCTCAGTGGTGGCCACGGCGGCGGCGTTCCGGCTCCGTCCATGTCGGACTAGCGACCCCCGCGCCGCACCCGCTGGCCTCCGCGACCTCACTTCACCGTTGCGCGGTTGCGCCAATCCCCTCTGGCCTCCATGGCTGTCTGCGAGGGAGGAGAGGGGAAATAAATAATGTAACTAATATGTGGGTCCTCACCTATTTTTTTTTTACTGTGAGTGACACGTAGAAGCCATGTGGAATGAAGACCTAGTCAAGATGCCATGTAGATAGCACATAAGTTAAAACCGGGTTCAATACTGTCGAGAGTCTATTTGCACCGGTTTTTAAGATATGGGAGGTATTATACCTGGTTTTGCGATTAAGGGATGCGATTTCGACCAAGTGCAAGAGATGAGGGACGTAAAATAGACTTATTCCTTCCTAGGACAATCACGAAGAACTTATGATCCATTCAGATTTCAGGCCCACCATTTGGAACTTTTGGCCCATTTCTCAATATTCACTTACGGCCGAAACATTTCTACCTTTTGCTGATTCTAGCGTCCATGAAGTTGCAACATGGGTTCATTTTCAGTTGATTTAGTTACATTTAAGACAATTTCGTCTTCTTTAGATTTCAATCCCACTTGGGTAATGTTGCCCCCAATTTGGCTGAGTAAATTGTAGGAGTTTGACCATTTGTGACACATCAAACGTTGTAGCTCATGGTTTGCCATAGGATGTTTTTCTTCGTTGTAGCTAACTTTATTTTTGAGCCGAAAATATGACCCAATTAAACAAAGAAAAGGTATGGTAATTTATGTATTATAGGGGATAACGATCCAAACATAACGAGATTACAATACATGAGCCTAATTTTGAATTCAGAGTGCAAGATAGTGGGAGAAAGAGAGAGAAGGAAAAGATAGAGCTAATATATACTAGTTGTACAATGAATTTATAGTTAGTAGTGAGTTCCGAGACGTCATCCAAGTGGCACCGAACAAAATGTAAGTCAGTGATGCTATGGTCACCGTCATTAAAATGATAAGATGGATTAAGAAAAACGTTACTAACCATGGAATTGCTATCAGATTTTCAGATTTGCTCTCATTCCAATTCTAAGTAATAACGTAAGCTAGTATATTTATGTCATGTATCCAACGTTTGCGTTCACTTCATATTTTTTATTTGTTGGTAGGTAATTACAACGACTTTGGATAATTCAACATAAAAATGATAAGGTATAAAAATACATGTAGGGGATGTAGCTCAGATGGTAGAGCGCTCGCTTAGCATGCGAGAGGTACGGGGATCGATACCCCGCATCTCCAAACTTTTTAATAGTACCTTTTGCATTTTTTTTCCCTTGCTAAAGAAATTGTTGGTCTCTTCGCTAATGTTTTTTGCATTTTTTCCCTTACTAAAGAAATTGTTGGTCTCTTTGCTAATGTGCTCTTTGTATAGCCCATTTTGAACATGCTAATTTGGTTTATCTCTCCTCCAGATTTTATCCATATAGCTGTAAACTATAACATTCAAAAGGGTTCAAAATTTTCAAGAAGAGATATTTTAACATATACAATAACAAATCTACACCCTTAGCCCCTAGGTGATTACAACCACGTACTATACTCTACTACTAACCATGGAACTTCGCTGGTCACCTCATTTTCAGCCTAATTTTTTAGCCCAACGCAACACTATCATATACTAAGGTGGTGTTTGGAAAGGAGGGACTAAACTTTAGTCCCTCTCATACAAACATAAGTTCTTACAAAAGAGACTAAGGGCTTATTTGGTTCTCTACCCTACCAATTTATTGGTAGTGCCAAAGTCTAGGCAAAATTTGGCACTACCAAAATATTGGTAGGGTAAAATTATTTGGCTACCATTTGGATTGCTACCAATATAAAGTCAAATTCTCATAGTATAGTAAAGAAACTTCTAGAAAATGACCAAATAGTATAAGGGAACTACCAAATATTTGGCTTCAATCCAAAATAACACATATACTATTCAATTTGCCAATAAATTGGTAGGGTGTGTTTTTGGTATTAAACCAAAACGGCCCTAAAATTTTTGTGAGAGGGACTACATTCCCAAACACCACCTAAGTGCGATATTACGAGCAATCAATCAATCGAGTATAATGCAGCTTAAGCCAGCCAGCCATCGCCTTCGTTTGGTGTTGCACGTGTCAAATCCCCGGGCGGGCCGGACCCACCGTACAGTGACAGATCCAGCCACTGGCAGTTGGGCCGCGAGCGGGCCAACGAACCACCACCCCAGCATTTATTACTCCCCTTGCACCACCACGCGTAATCCACCCACCATTAAACTCTGGCCCCACCTGTCATCCAGCGTGTGGTGCCACGTCCGTTTCCCCTTCCCGGGAGGGAGCAGCGTCCTGTTTGTGATTTACCCGTATTGGTTTGTACCCGAGACACTGAGATGTGGGGCCCACGGTGAGATTGGTGGCTTGCGCGTGGTTTTTCTTGTGGTCGTAGGCACACCGCCCGCCGCGACCGCCCAACTACTCGGTGAGTTGACTTGGTAATAAAGAAGACGTATACTCGTGTCATGGAAATTTTCGTCCAGGTCCTCGTGGGACGACGAAATTCAAACCGGCTCCATGCATGGCTTACTCCGTACACCGCCACACGTACTCCGTAACACGTTACACGTCTACGGGTGGCATGGGCGAGCGACATGAGCGGATCGCTCATTCCATTATACGTTCTGTTTGCTCGTCCCATGTGTTTGTTTGGCTAGGTGGATGAGCTTCGATGAAAGATGGCCGTCCGAATTTTTATATTGTTTATTTAAATGGTATGATGGATAGTACGGTCTAGAAAAGGGAATATTCTCTTAATATGTTGGATGAGTGTATCCGGCCGATTTGACTGGAAAAAGTCATACAAGGCATGTGTAATGTGTCATATTCTGATTGGCTGTGGTTGGTTTGATTTTCTGTTAGCAAGCTCCAAATGATTTTTTTCTCCTAAACCATTTATCTAATTTATGATTTGATTACACCATTATATTTATTACAATTAAATCTTTAATAAAATCTCAGGTGATTATATTTTAATAAAAAAAATATATATGATAAATGTGACCCACTAACTTTTGGCATATCCCAACCATGCTATATCCCTCCAACCAAATAAGAAATTTAGTCATCCTATATACAAATCAAACAAAAAAATTAGATCGCTATATAAAAAAAAATATATGAATGGTCATATCCCATTCATGACTATCGACCAAACATGCATGCATGACATCAGCCACACCCACACACACCCTAAATACTCTCCCGGTGATGGCCATATAGTAATAATTTCATTTTCATCCAAGCATTGCCATCTCCATAAAAGTATGGACATGAATGGACTTGTTTGCAAACAGTGCTAGAGTTAAAAACTTAGAATGGACTTGTTTGCAAATAGTGCTAGAGTTAAGATGATGGCAACGACCACCCAACACCAATCGATCGGCTATCGATGTCACGATGCAGCAATGTAGTCCTCCGGTCCAATTTCCAAGCTTGTCTCACAAAGACCATAGTCGACGATCAACGATGGACAGTGCTTGCCACTCAGCTGTGAAAATCAACGTTAGTACTCCCTCCCTTCCCTCATATAACCATGATCTCTTCATTTGATGTGTGGTATTATTACATTTATATATACAAATTGAGTTTGCATACATGCATGAAAGTATTTGAGGTAGTAAAACTCTTGTTTCTTGTGCATGGTGGGTGTTAAAGGGTGCGTGTTTCTTGATTTCTTGATGTTTCCGCCGATACTTTGATACATCGTCCGTATTTAAGTCTATTTTTAAGTTTATTCGTTTTTGAAAATACATAAGAAGTTGTATAAAAAATCATTTTAAAAACATGCTAACTTTGAATGAAAGTCGGACTCCTAATTACTTTATAATTCTCGCCAGACCATTAAAAAAATAACGTACATGATATATGATCAACATCCCAATAAAGATTTCGAATTAGATATCAATACTATCAAAATAAAAATCCTATATATACATTTTAGAAAAGACAATCTAACAATAATACGATTAAACTAGCCCTCACCCGTTGCAACGCACGGGTATTATTTCTAGTTATAAATACAATATAGGAAAGTTAATTCTTCCTTAATATTGATAAAAAAAAAACTTATACGATGATCAATATGAAATGGAGGGAGTGGTACTGTATTAGAGTTGACCTCTGGGAATTAGGTTGCTCCGGCACTCCATGGTACTCTCTGATTTTCGGCATATGATACCGTTAATTTATATATATTTGTTTGATCATTTATTTTATTAAAAATATACACATATTAAAAATATGAGTTGTGCTCAAAGCTAGTACTACCCAACTAAAACAAATCACACCAAAATAAATAAAGGTTACGTATTTTTCTAATAAAATAAATGGTTTAACATATGCCTAAAAGCTATAGATATAATCTAAAGTTAATTTTAAGTTATAAACTTTGATTATAGAATTAGTTTAGGGTTGTTTTCATCAGTTTAGGAGTTGTTGGCATCCGGCTCTCCTTTTTTCCATTTCTACGACCGCTAGTAAAATAATCTACCAAGATCCTTTAAAGTCGAAATCACTTTGAAATGTAATCTTTAGGGATTCCAAGTAGATTCATAGTTGGCTCTACACAATTTGTCAAATGGTCACAAGGTCACAGGTGTTCTAAAAAGATATTTATATTAACTTCATTGACTCAATCTAGTTGTTAGAACACACTGTACATGGGTCTACTATCTCAATTTGATGCATGTCGTCGCAAGAATAGGTGCTAAAGTCCCTTTTTCTCCAATTCAATGGATACGGTTAAAGTTCCTAAGAGACAACACGTTGATAATAGGTTTGTTGAGACGAGATTATGGCATCTAGATCTTCTTTTAGAATTAAAAGCCCACTTAAACGGTTCAGTTTTTTTACTTAGAATATGAGAATACATAGTTGTAAAATTTTAAAAATAAACTAGAAACCCGAAGTTATTTTTTTCAACTTCTCTATATTCTTACCAGATGAATTCTAAAGTTCTTCCAAACAGACTTTGTAAAGGAGTTGAAAGTAGTACCCATTGCATTCAATTGTATAATTGCATCTTAGTAGTATCCATGTGAACTGTTGAAGCACAAATGAATTAAAATGACTTTCTGTTCAGTTTAAGCTTTTGATTGAAACAGAAGACTCATACATAAGTTCTAGGAGTACATATTACTTTTTTCACATCAAATGGTGTATGCTCCTGTTCATATATTCCTATGTCCTCGTTTACTGGTCACTGTTGACCCGCTAGTGTTTTAACTTTGATCATTAATAGTTTTTAAAGGATTAAGTATTAACCTATGATTAGTGAAAGTTATATAGTTGTATTAATGGTATATGTCATACTTCAAGTATATATATATTTTTTTCAGAAAAAACAAACGGCCAATGTTTTGAAAAAAAACAAGTGACAAGTATATACAAATTTTGCTACATGACATCGTGACCACGGTTTAAGTAGTAAGGCATCACACAAACTGACTTTGGGGAAATACACTATTAAGAGTGTCTTCCCCCAAAACTTCGCGCGGTGTTAAAACCGTGAAATCATAATGTGCCATAAAATAACATGTTATAGCTGCTAAAGCACAACTGCACAGATGAAACTACCCATCCTTTCTATTCAATTTAACCTTTTGGCCGAAACTAAACTATTCATACATAATACCTAAAATATTTCTTTTCCATATATCCTTTTAGTGCATGTTACTGTCACCCATCCTCCTTTTTATTATCACTAGACACAAAAATCCCAACAAAATCCAATTATAATCCAAATAGTACCCCTTCTTTTCTTTTTTATTTTTTACAGGTCACCGTTCCACCACATCGCACATATTCTTCGTCGCTAATTAGCTTCACCTGCGACCACACACACACCACCACCACCGCCGCGTCGCCATTCCACACCGCGTCAAGCAGCGCACGCCATCGCCGTCTCCTCCTCTTCTCCGGCGTCCAAGAACCCCTCCCGTGCCCCGGCCATGCCGCCGCCGGAGCCGGACAAGGACAAGCCGCTGCCGAAGCCCAAGCCGCCCAAGCCCAAGCCCAAGCCGCCCAAGCCGGAGCCGGAGCCGAACACGCGCTCGGCGCCGGAGCGCGACCAGACGGCCGCCCCGTACGGCACGGTGCCCCCCGACCCCTTGTCCTGCGCCACCGACTGCTCGCCGGACTGCGTGTTCTACCACCTGTGCCCTTCGCCGCCGCCGCCGGTGGCGCCCGTGCATCTGAGGTCGTCGCGGCTGCCCACGCCGCTCATCGCGCTGTCGGCGTCGCTGCTCGGCGTGTCGGTGGTGCTGCTCGTCGCGTTGCTGGTGTGTCGGCTTATGAGGGGGAGGGGGAGGAGGGGGAGGAGGAGGCGAGGTGGGCGGAACGCGCTCGCGCCGCAGGAGGCGCCGCTGACGCAGCAGCCGCAGCAGGGGGACGAGGAAGGTGGGGCGGCGGGGGCGGCGATGGCGGCGGAGGAGGTGGAGGGCGACGACGACGACGACGACGGAGGAGGAGGGGTTCACCACGTGTGGTACATACGCACCGTGGGGCTCGACGAGCGCGCCATCGCCGCCATCACCGCGCTGGTGTACGACGCCAAGAAGACCGGCGGCGGCATCGGGCTCGCCGGCGGCGGCGGCGGCGGCGGCGGGGGAAGCTGCGCGGTGTGCCTCACCGAGTTCCGCGACGGCGAGACGCTGCGCCTGCTGCCGCGGTGCCGCCACGCGTTCCACCGCGGCTGCATCGACACCTGGCTCCGCGCCCACGTCAACTGCCCGCTCTGCCGCGCGCCCGTCCAGATCAGCGACAAGTCCGCCGCCGCCGCCGCGGCGGCGGCGGCCAACGCCGCGCCGGGCGCCGCCGCGGCCGTTCCCGGCGGCGCGCCCGCGCCGAACCCGCGCAACGCAGCTGCCGCCGAAGCCGACAGAGGAGAGCTCCAGGGCTCGCCGGAGCGCGGCGTCAGGCGAGCCGCGTCGATGGTGACGCTGCCGAGGCGGCCATGGCCGGAGGTCTCGCTCCGGTCGCCGGCGTCGAACAGTGGGCGCATGGGCGAGATGGGCCTCGCCAAGATCGCTCGACTGATGAAATTCTCGGAAGTGTTGGAGATGGCCGGCATCGGAGCGACCAGGTCGGTGTCCTTCGGCGGCCACGGCAGGTCCGGCCAGTCCGCCGCCGCCGGCGCCGGCAACAACGCCGACGAGATTTCACGGTGAATTGCTGCTCTTCTGTGAAGGGATGAATCGCTGAAGGTTTCAGATTTTGGGAGACATGGAGGTGTTTGGTTTGGAGAGTTTTGTCACAAGGGAAAGGTAAAAAAAGTTTATCTTTCCTAAATCTTATGTGTGATTAAGCAAATAAATAACATGAGCTTTGTGCATACACCGCGAAACGTCAGAAATTGTAAATATGAATTCCTGACAAAAAGGAGATGTCTTTGTATGCGAGTTTGTAAGATATAAAAGAGATCACTGCTGCCTGTTCATTACAGTTCATGAAATTATATGAACTATGTTTGGACTTGTCTTTGCATCACCTCTCTTCTTTACTTCCAATCATGCAAGATGTTAATTTCACCAAGATGATTCATGACTGTCGGTGCAGGATATGGCTGTGTCTTGCCTCTTTGATCTTTTATCAATCTGTGATTGTTAAGAGATTTTGATTCACTCATCAAGCTATGGGACTTGCCGACTTGGTGTTTCTTCATCTCTCTTCTTTACTTCCAATCTTGCAAGATGTTAATTTCACCAATATGATGGATTCATGACTGTCGGTGCAAGGAGAAGGGTTGTGTTTTGCATCTTTAATCTTTCATCAATCTGTGATTGTTGAGAGATTTTTATTCACTGATTCACTCATCAAGCTATGGACTTGTGTTTCTTCATCTCTCTTCTTTACTTCCAATTTTGCAAGATGTTAATTTCACCAAGAAGGTTCATGGCTGTCGGTGCAGGAGAGGGGTTGTGTTTGATTCTTCGATCTTTCATGAATCTGTGATTGTTAAGACCATTGATTTTGATTCGCTGACCAAACAACAACCTTCTCAAACCTCATGTTCTTCCAGTTTATCACAAGGTTGTTGATTGTTGCATAAAAGTAAAGCAAGCAACCTGCACCTAGTTTTAATTCCAGTACTTTTCAATGTGGTTGAAACATTTTTGATGACTGTGATCAGACCAAAGTACAGGAAATGTGTTGCAACTTGTGAGGAATTTGTTCTGCTGCACCAATCCAGAATGAACTGGATCCTGTTCCAATCCTGTTCACTGAAAAAGAAAAGGGAAAAAGAAAAAAGAATTCAGCATTGCATCTGGAGCCTCCTGATTTGCTCATCCAATGGAGTGCATCAATATGGCTGAGGATTCTCAAGGAAGTTGCAACGACAAGCCACCTACTTTTTTTCCCATGTCACCATCAAGCTACTGACACTGCATTAAAAAGATGATGCTACACCATTTGGAAATGCTAATGGTGTGACAAAGCAAAGGAGGGATGCAAGTTAGGCAGTTAACCTTCAGTCACCTCACAAGGCACTAGAGCAGTAGTGAGTAGTGACCATCAATTATATATCGACCTACCATTAGTTGCAGGTCATTGTTGATAACCAAGTAATATGGGGTTAAGTTAGCATTGTGTTATTCTCAAGGCTCTTGAGAAAATGGAGTAGTAGAAAGCAAGTACCTTTCACAAGTTATTCATGCTTTTTTGTTAGATGAGGGGATGGGATCATGGTTTACAAAAACCAAAGAAAATTTGTCGGTTTTTGTGAAAACCGGACTTCTTGGACTGGCTTAGGAACATGGACCGCTTTGTTTACAGATCAAGTTCATGAAAAATTTAAACTGAGTTTTATTTTTCTTATAAAATTTTACCGGATTTTATTAGGAGTCAACTGCTTCCAGATGGTTTTCATCAAAGCCATGAAAACCTCTAACCTCTGGAATTTTTTTTTCTCGCAAACGGTCTAGTGAACCTGGATATGATTGGTGAGGAATGTCTGTAGTACAGCTGATGTAGTAGCAGACACCGACGTATGCATCCGGATCCATATATCAGCCACCGCTAAAATGTATCAGTCTTACTACAAAGGATCTGCATCCGTATGTGATTGGTGAGGCAAAAGTAATGAAAAAGTTTGGCTTGGTTTGGTGTACCTTTCACAAGTTAATTTAGGCTTTAGGATAAGGCCATGGATGATTGGACAGTCTTGTGTCCTTGTGTAGAGCCTTTAGTAGATATTTTGGTTTTCTTGAGGCTATGATATCCCTGTCATTTTTTGCTCAGAGTGAGAAAAATGATTAAACGAGTGTTGTTAGTGGAGTCCCGACACGCACGGCAGATACTTCACTCGCACAGTACCACTGAAGTGCTGTTTTCTTTGCATGCTTATTCACACTCGCTCAGTGCTGTCTTTCCATGCTTCACACTTGCCAGTTGCCTGTCTCTGTCTACATCAAAACAAACAAACAAAAACAAAAAAGTAAAAAAGAAGAGTTTTTTTATTGAAAAAAACAGTAAAAAGAAGAGCTGAGAGACAGCCTTGCATCTTCACTGTGGAAATCAAAATCTTAAAAAAATTGGCATTGTTGGTGACACTGCGATTAGCGCGTGAAATGCCTGAGTGCAAATATGCTTTCTGTAGATGACTCACACAGATATTTAGTCACGTAGGCCTTGTTTAAATCCTTCGAGCTATTAAATAGCCCTTCGGAATCTTGCTATTTTAGAGTATTAAACGTAGATTACTGACAAAACCAATTCCATAACCCCTAGGCTATTTTGCAAGACGAATCTAATGATGTATATTAATCCATGATTAGCGACCAATTACTGTAGCGTCACTATAATAAATCATGGATTAATATACCTCATTAGATTCGTCTCGCAAAATAGCCTAGGGGTTATGGAATGGGTTTTACCACTAATCTATGTTTAATAATCCTAAATAGCAAGATTCTGGAGGGCTATTTAATAGCCCTCCGGATCCAAACAGGCATAATAGCAATATAACAGAACCACTTGCCAGAGGGTCGGCCAGCAAATATGTACCGCAAGGCGCAAACACTGGAAAATCCATTATTCCCCCACACCGTTTTGAACATGAAATTTGGTCTCAAATTTCTACATTATACTCGAGAAATTTTCCTCACGAGAGCAGCTAGAGGGCATTATAACTCACATGAGCCCTTCAATTTTACAAAACTCTTGACAACATGGCCATTTTTGTACAAGCGTGACAAAGGGAAGGCCTGGATCTTGCTATGTTCAGCGGACAGGAGAAATTTGGACAGTTCTCCTTTTTGACCCTAAGACAAAAATGATCTCCCAGACGGTATCACATATATCTCCAGTAGACGATCAGATGATAAATTAAGCGATGAAAATCAGAGCCTGGACAAATTTCTCAATGTAGAAACCTTGCTAAGAGATCCTCTTTATGCTGCATATAGTAGTATGCCAAAATTGCAAGAATAATAACCAGTATCATGGTCCATATACTTATACCTGCCAGAACAAAGCAAACATATTTAGGAGGACATGCACGACTGGCAAGTATAAAAAACAATAACAAATAAAGATGTGGCATACCACGACTCTTAGGTGATCCAATTGAAGTCACCCTAGCAGTAGAATCGAAGGAAGTCGACAGCAAGGTCCTGATATAAAATAGAATACCAACATTGAGAAATCACATCTGTCACGTTTGTAAACTCCAAGCAGATCGAGAGTCTACGGCATATATACTGACCTTGAATCTTGAGAGAATGCCAATGTAGTAATAATGCCAAGATGTGCCTTTTTAACTGTTACAAGCGACCGCATATTTTTTGAACTTAGTACAATAATGCTTCCTTCAATAGTTCCACTGGATATGGAAATGCAAACAAATTAGGCTTCTAGAAGGTGCATCCACATAATCTCAATAAGCTTAATCATAAAATGCAGTAAGCTGTTGATTGAATTTGCTCACATTGCAAGAAGTGTACAATCAGGCGAGACAGCAAATGCTGAAATTGCCTCACGTGTTATTTTATTTGACCCAATTCTCGTCCACGAGGTCGTATTCCAAGATATTATTTTCCCATAATCACCTAAGGAACAGGTTTATGTTACTGTCAGGACTTACCCTAGCAGATAGTATTCGATCTATAACATGGTTAAATAAAGTCTTGGGTTACCTTGCATCGCTGTAACAAAGAGGATCTGACTGTTGTCAGTCTGATTAGAGAATCTGCAGAAACCAAATATTTCTCCCTGGAAATGTGAAAGCAAGAAACTCACTTAAAACAAACACAATACACCAACATATGTTTTCAAAACACATAAACACACACATACTCACTGCTTCTCTTGGGAGATTAGCTACAACTTCTGCTGACTTCAAGTCCCATACTCTACATGGGCCACTGCTTCTGTTCACAGCAAGGAAATGTTCATCGGAGCTAAAAGCACAACACGAAACAGAGGAAACCCATCAGTATCACGCAATCAATAATACCTAAGTTGCGAGAAAAGAAAGAGAATTTTTACCTGAAGGTTAAATCCTTCACTGATGTTTTCGTATCGGGTTCTTCAAGAATGGAATCCATGGAAGGCCATTTGAAGACCCTTAAATGACCATCCTACATAATTGACAGAAAATTGATTTGGCACCCTAAGTAGAAATCATCAAAGAATTCCCAAGGCACGATTGTATAGTACAGAAATCAAATTTTGTAATGAATATTTTGCCTTGAAAAAAGTGACAATTGGAAATATTACAGCTATAGACACAAATTAATATAGCCTCGTAAGTGTCCCGATTTGCTTTTAACTAAAGTGAAGGTGAGGATGCTACACATAAAACAACATAACTGAACAAGTATTACCATGGAAACAAATAAAACATTGATTTAGTTTCTTCATTTGTTTATGTGCTCTTATTTTGTTCACTTATTAGAAAATAACTAACCTTACATTGTCGCACACCAAAAAGGATTTGTAACATGCTGATTATGAATCAAGAAGTGCCCTTTGACCAACACAAAGTCACCAACACTATATACACTTCTGGTAAGTGACCTCAATCTCTAATGAATCATTATAAATAGTAAACAGAGGCACGCATTGCTATTGTCAAGTTCCCATGCGAATTCCACAATTTGGTTCTCTTAATCATGTACACAAAATTGTTGCTCATGTAAACCTTATCATAATTTGCTTGCCAAATTGTTTCTGCATGAAGCTCTGAAGTAGATGACTATAGTTTATTACATCTTCTTTACCAAAGACACTGTAACGTTTATGGCAGTCAGATTCAGAAAGAAAGTTTTTGTGTGCATAAGCAATGGCCAGTAAAAAGTGAAAAGGAAAGAAATTTAGCAAACGAAAAGAAGGCAATAAACAGGGCATCTTCCAAAGTATATAGGCCAAAGTACCTATAGGGTAACTGGCTACACGAGGAATGGAATACAAAAATGAAAAAAGTAATGCATAAAGAAAATAATAATCTCTAATAGAAAGCAAGTTATATCCACTTACCTCACCACCAGTCGCAAGTATTGAACCTTCTCCACTGAATGACACAGCTAACTGCAAACCAGCATCACTCAACTCTGTCAGTGCCTCCTGATCAGCCCTCAAAGCTATATTATCAGGTCCCTCTCCTTCCTGTGATTCCCATCGAAATAACCTATATAGTTGTTACATGGTCAGAAATCAGAATTAAGAAGTGCAAAATAACCAGGAAAAATTCTTTACAAAAGTTGAACCTTCTCTCCTAAAAAGAAGACATCCACTATCATCGCGTAAAAAGGTACATTTCGGAGCTAATACTAAGATATAATCTAGCAATTCATCTACAGTAAGCAAATAACAAAAATATGACTTCTGACATGTTATGGGCGTTGCCCATAACAAACAATTCAACAAGTTAATGACAAGACAATTAATACTTACAAAAGCAGGAACTAAAATCTACATGCCCCAATTCTAGCTTCATAGTAAAGCACGGTCTGTAAGTTGGATAAAGAACTCCACAAACTTGTACCCAGCCGTCGTTGTCCAACCTCATCATAATATTGGTTTCTACAAGCCTCTCAGACCACACATATATAATCTTAGTGTTTACATTTACATGATTAAATCTTAGTAATAATGGAAAAGGTCTACAGTACCCCCTCTCTCCTCTAATTCTTCCCGAAGTTAAGCTTCAAACAGTTCAACCCTTAAACTGGATAAAAAAAAACACCCTCAATTTTCAATACCAAATAGATTACACCTACCGTAAGCACAAAACAAGGCTTGTTTTGTGCCACGTCTACTGCCACGATGGCACCAACACAAAGCATGCGCAGCAGAGGGACCTGCAAGCTGTAACTACATTTTTCTTTCCCTCTACCATCTTCTTCCCACATTCTTCGTTCCCTGAATCCCTAACCGCATTGAAGAGGTGACATGAAGAGTGATCCCCCGTACTCACGTGGCGTTCGTTACGGAGAACCTCAAAAGTTGTTCAAAATGTGGTTGTATGTAGACAGTACGAGTTATCTGAGTCATGAATTGAATTGACACCTTTTGAAGCATTTTGAACAATTGGGCTAACTAGAATTCATAGCCAACCAATACCACCCCCAGCTGGCACTGGCGGCACCATCCGCAGTAGTAGCATGAACACAGGTAGTAGATGGTACAGAAGGACAAATTTGATTCGAGAGGAGAGTAACCTGCAGCCATTGGGGAATGCGCAGAGGACGCCGTCGCCGCGCGGGTGGACGCCCATCCTGTACGGCACCTGCTCCTCCGTCCCCATCCTCAACACCTGCACTCCCCACCCCCACCCCCACCACCAGCAACGTCAGATCAGCACGGGACGAGATCGAGATCGGCGTGGAAATCTGGCGGAGATGAAGAAACCGGATCGCTCACCGGGTCGGGGGACAGCGCCGCCGCCGCGGCCGCCCCAGCGGAGGTGTCGAGCGCGGCCACCACCAGCGCGTTGGGCACGCCGCTCCGCCCCTCCCCGCCCCCTCCCCCGAGCGCCGCCATGAGCGGCGGAGGCGGAGGCGGCGTAGCGGGGGACTCCGACGAGGCCGCGCCCGCGTCCGCGTCCGCATCCCCCTCCTCCACCGGAGGAGGCGGATTGAGGATGTGGGCGAGGGGCAGCCACGAGGCGCAGTAGATCGGGAACCCGTACGTCTGCCCGCCGCCGCGCCGCGCCATCGCCGGAGTTGGAGGTGGTCGGCGGCGCAAGCGGATCGGATCCTCTCTGACTTTCGCGTGCGGTTGGGCTCTTGAATCGAATGCGCAATCCAACGGCGAGCAGCGAACACCGGTTTATTCCGGTTTGCAGAAAAAAAACCGAGAAAATATCAGTTCGGCTTTCGGTTTCGGCCGAAGAAAACCGGGAGCACGCCACCTCCGCACGGCCAGCCTCCCTCCGTCGCGTGAATGGCTAGAGGCTAATTTTCGGTTTTATCGGTGGGTCGGTTTATTAGTGGAGTTGAAAGCCGAGCCATAAACCGAACACGGAACAGAAGAAAAAAAAAAAAAGGCAAACAACAACCGCTGGCCAAAAAAAATCGAACTCAGAACAACCGTTGGCTGGATACACCTGGCTACCATCCAAACACGCCCACGTATTTTCTTCGAATTTAAACTCCAGTGCAGTGTAGTTAGCACTAGCATGCTAAGAAGATTGTGTTTCATACAACTTGATGGTCTTTGATTAGATCTTTTGGTGTGTGTATTTAAAACAGAGACTGAAGATCTACTACTTCATTTCACTGATAAAAGAAAAGATACAGACCGATCGTTCACACACACACACACACACACACACACACACACACAAGAACACCGCCCTACAAGCACATCAGGAACTCCCTAAAGCTACACTAAATACTTTCTGGAAAAAACAAAAGCAAAATTCTAGCATTTTTGTGCCATCGTGCAAGCCACCTGATCCGATCGGACTGTTAAGCTTTGATACATTTGCTACTCATTACATGCTGATCAACTACTGAACAACAGATCATCCTCTGACTCATCTTCTGACGATGATGGCGAGGCCGTACTGTCACAAGTGAAACATGAGAAATCAGAATGTAGCTCACAAATCCTATCTTACTATAAAGTTACCCCCCACTAACTACTTAAGCTTAACATACAAGGATGCCACATCATCATCCACTAACAAGATGCATGCCATATCATCATCTACTAACAATCATCACATTTAAATATCATGCAAACATGTTATATCTTTATAGAGCTTTTCAAAGACAAACATGTTAAATTATCATCCAATATAATTCACATAATGTTTCAGTGTATATCTTTATTATGTTTTATGATATCATATATACTTATATAGTTCATCATCACTTAGTTAATGTTTAAATGATTAATTTATGGTCCAAATTATCTTTCTCTTTTTTTCCTCAAATTAAGTCATATCACATCAATTGTTTTTAGCCTTTAGATGATTAATCTACGGTCCAAACTATCTCCCTACTTTTCTTCTTCCATAAAGTCATACCTCCTTACTTTTTACGTTTGAATCACCATTCTACATACTATTTAAATTTAAATTATCATAAGCCACATTAATTTACTTAATCTGATGTTATCTAGCTATCTTACACGTTATTTTTTTTTCGTTGTTATCATACTAAATTCCCGCAGCAATGTGTGGGGTTTCACCTAGTACTACAATTTTGAAACCCAGTCGCTAGAAAAATGAAATTATTTCGGGACAGAGAGAGTACTAAAATAAAAAGTAGTGTAGCGACAAGCGAGAGACGATGAACATACATTGCTTTTCGGTTCTGCCACGACCACTGCAGCCACTTCAGTCGAGTTTCCTTCGAATCGAATCTCTTGAAGACGGTGCGGCGTGTTCGTGACCTTAGTAGCTCTTTGGCAAGATGATACTGCTCCGAGTTCGCGTCAACCCCGTCCTCCCTTAAGGTCTTCAGCATTTGAAGTCTCTCATCTCGCTCTCTCTGAATTCTGTTGATTGATTGTTGAATTATGTTGGATATGCGACCGATGTGGTATTCGATGAATGATCTCTTCTTCTTCTTCTTCGGTTCAAGGCTGTCAACCACTTGCTCCTTCGCGTCCTGCAATTCCTGTTCATTCAGGCAAGAATTTTGAAAATACAATCAGTAGACTAGACTACATTTTGTGATTTGGATGAACAAAATTTGGGTTGTGCGTGTCTGAATGCAATTCGCACGAACCTGTGAGTAATAACAATACTTGATCCAAGTTCAGCAAGACTGGAAAAAAGTAGCACATACAAGGGAACATGAAAAGCTAGTTCAGTCAACTAACTACGTACCATTCTAATCGAAACAAATTCATTTTTAACTTTAACAGGAAAAGCTACTGTCTGGTTGTCTTATTTTCCAGCAATTCAATTTTTTTTTTCAGGTAGAAAATACATCGGCATGGCCTCCACATTCCATTTCAGTGTTGTGTATGGGCAGTTTTTCTTTCCTCAATGCATAGTTGAAGGAATTAAACAAACTATTGAATAATTTGATCCAATGGCTGCAAGATACTTGCCGTAGTAGCGCGGTGGAGACGACGAGCAGGAGTCGAACGCAGGCTGTAGCGCGGCGGCGGTTTAGGAGGCGAGCACGACGAGGTGGAGGACGCCGGCGAGCTCACCCGCCGGCGTGGTGCCTGGCGCAATCTCTGACGGTGGGGAGGCCTCATGGCCGTCGACCTTTGTGATGCCTTAGGCGCCAACCTCTGCTTGCAATGTAAATCTGCAGGGAAAGAAGGATTTTTTTTTGGTTGGTGATTTTGGGGCTGGATTGTTTGCAGCAAACTGGAGCAATGATTCACCTGTGCATTTTGCATAATGCATCTTATTTACTAGTAATACACAATGTGTGGTTCATATAAACAAGTTCAGCTCTGCCAAACTGCGGTTGTACTGAATTAATGGAAAACAAACTTGGGCTGACACAATGGCTCAACATTAACTAAGCAAAGTTGTGCACTGTCATACATTGATACATACATTACTGCGTGATGCAACTTCAATTGGCACTGAATTAAATTGTGAACCGATCGAAAGAATCAAGTGGAGCAGAATCTTGGATCTCCAGCAATGCACATTGGACCAACGACAGAGTACACATGCGTTTCTGCCGAAGGACAAAACGCTTATCTTGCCTGAATGGGGTGTTACCTCGTTCCGGCTGGGATGTGGTCACCGGACCACCGGCGCTGGCGACGGAGCAACGGCCGGCGCGGCGTTCCGCCGTCGAGGGAAAGATTGAGTGGGGGATTGGAGCCGAGGAGGCGCCTGTAGCAATGGAATGGAGTGGTGGTGGCTTCTTGAATAAGCTTTGCCCCTCTCTAGAAGAGCAACGTTACCCTGATACGGTAGATTACCGTCGTATCAGTATCTGATACGCCTCCGGATACGGATACGTGCGGGATACGTCCGGATACGTATCCCATACGTATCCCTCATTTTTCTTATTTTTAGATAATTAAAATAAATATGGATACTCTCCCGATACGGTGGGATACGGACCTGATACGGGGTAACCCTAAATCGCATCGCACAGGAACAAAACACGCTCTCCTTCTCCACCCGCGCCGCCCCTCGCTCTCACAAGTCACAACTCACGCTGCCCCTCTCTCCTCGCTTCCCCGATCCCCATCTCAGCGCCGCCGCCTACGCCGTCGCTGCGCCGCCTCGCCGCCGCTAGCGGCAGGCGCCGCGCTGCTGCCTACGGCCGGCACAGCGCCCCCTCCTCTGCGCTCTCCTCCGCGACTCCTCCTCCACAAGGTGCCGCGCCGCCCGCTCCAAGCCTCCAACCGGCGCCCAGCACCGTGTTGGCTTCCTTCGATCCCGGCCTCCGACGACGCTGAGGATCCTTAGGTAAGTGAATATCCCCTCCAAGTTTGATCTGCACTGTGCGTAGTGTTCCGGTTCAATTTTTCTTAGTATAATTGCTGTCATCTTTGGTAGATTCAATGGATTTTAGAAGTGGAAGCTCGAATGATAGTGGTAGTGCTAGCAATCCTAGTGGTAATACTGGTTTTGATGCATCGAGACCATCTAGTGGGAGTGGTTCAACAATGGGAGGGCATGCAAGGAGCATTTTGAATGCTGCTCGTGTGATTCCACCCAATGATGATGAAAAGAAGCCCTTGTGGAGGTATGTTGAGCTGCTGGAAAAGACAGGGAAAGGTCAAGGAGGGAATGCAAGGTTCAGATGCAGGTTTTGTAACCAAGTTATCCATGGGAGTTACTCAAGAGTTAAAGCACATCTCTTGAAAATTGGAACAATTGGTGTGGCTACATGCAAAAAGGTGACAGTAGATATACTTGGGCAACTTCAAGATGAAATGACTAGAGCTGAAGCAATCTCTGCAAGGAATTTGCCTAAGGACATCCCACTACCAACAGAGAGTGTGAGTAGGGGGAAGAGAAGGGCTGTTTCAGCTATTGAGTCAAGCTTCAATTTAGATGCTCGTGCCAAGCTTGATGCTTTGATTGCGAGGATGTTCTATACATCAGGTCAGAATATAGCATGTTTTTTTTCAGTTCTAACATTATCAATTTTGTTTTGTTTATGACGTGCAACTAATTATATGTGTGCATTTGGTTTGCAGGTATTCCTTTCAATGTTGCAAGAAATCCATATTTCAGGAAGGCTTTTCAGTTTGCTTGCAACAACCAACTTGGTGGTTATACCCCTCCAAATTTCAACAAATTAAGAACAACACTTCTTGTTCAAGAGAGGACAAATGTTGAGCGCTTGCTGAATGCTCTCAAGTCAACATGGTCTACTAAAGGTGTGAGTATTGTATCTGATGGATGGTCTGATGCTCAAAGGCGACCAATCTTGAATTTTCTTGCAGTGACAGAAGATGGACCAATGTTTTTAAAAGCAATCAATACTGAAGGAGAAATCAAGAGGAAGGAATATATTGCTGAGAAAATGTTTGCCATCATTGAAGAGGTTGGCCCAAATAATGTCGTGCAAGTTATTACTGATAATGCATCTAATTGTAGGGCTGCTGGATTGATGGTTGAACAAAAGTACAGCCACATTTTCTGGACACCATGTGTTGTCCATACTTTGAACTTAGCCTTGAAGAGTATATGTGCTGCCAAAAACTCTAGTGGGGATGCTTTTCTAGAATTCCAATGGATTAGTGAAGTGGCTACAGATGCATCTGCCATAAAGAATTTCATTATGAATCACTCAATGAGGCTCTCCATGTTCAATGATTTTAGTAAGCTGAAATTTCTTGCCATTGCTGATACTAGATTTGCATCTACTATTGTGATGCTTAAGAGGTTTCGTGCTATCAAAGAGAACTTAATCTTGATGGTGGCTAGTGAAAAATGGAATACCTATAGGGAGGACAATCAAGTTCAAGCACAACATGTCAAGGAGAAGATTTTAAATGATTTATGGTGGGATAAAGTGAAATATATCATTGATTTCTGTGAGCCTATCTACTCTATGATTCGTGCTGCTGACACTGACAAACCATGCCTCCATTTGATCTATGAGATGTGGGATTCCATGATAGATAAGGTGAAAAAAATCATCTATCGTCATGAAGGGAAAGAACTAGATGAGCAATGTTCTTTTTTCTTTCATGTGAATGAGATCTTACACTTCCGGTGGGCAAAAAGTACTACCCCCTTGCATTGCTTAGCACATTCACTAAACCCAAAGTAATGATGTTCTACCTCTTTTCAATTTTTATGTGCATAATTTATAATTGTTGCTAGCAGCTCAATAATCTTTTTTACAACATGTAGGTACTACTATGAGACTTGGTTGGAGGAGGCTCCAAACCACCAAGCCCCTCATATGGATGAGGAGATTTCAGATATGAGAAATAAGTGTTTTAGAAGATATTTCTCTGGGGATGAATTGAGAAAGATCAAACAACAATTTGCAGATTTCTCATTGTTTGGCAGTGGGTTTAATTCCTTTGACTCAATTGAGGATAGAGCCCATATGAATGCAAAGCAATGGTGGGGAATCTATGGTAACTCTGCACCTGAGCTTAAAAAGTTGGCACTAAAATTACTTGGACAGCCAACATCATCTTCTTGTGCCGAAAGAAACTGGAGCACTTATGGTTTCATCCATAGTTCAATGAGAAACAAGTTTAGTTCCTTCTCTTACTTATTTAGTTTCCTGTATGTTAGTAATGCATGAAATTAACACAATTGCATTTTTTTTAGTCTTAGGCCTGCACGTGCTGAGGATTTGGTGTTTGTGCACCAAAATATGCGTCTTCTTTCTAGGAGATCTGAAGAATACTACAGTGGCCCATCAATAATGTGGGATGTTGCAGGAGATAGATATGAGTTGTTTGATGGTGGTGCTGATTTTCTTCAACAAGCTGAACTGACACTTGATGAGCCTGACCTTGAGAGACTACTGGAAGATCTTGGTGCATTGGACATACAAGGCGATAACGGGCCTTCATCCACTTCGGTTCCAATGGATGAAATCAACAATCAATTTATCTAGTCTTGCAATCTAGTTATTGAGTTGAATTTGAAGTCATGGACAAGTTAATTAATTCTAATTAGTTTAGCGCTGTGGTGATGCTCTACTGTTGATTTATCTACTATGTGAACAATTTTATCTACCATCTATTTGAAGAACACATGTGTTGTGATTCCTATTTTTTAAGTCCATATTTCACACTTAGTTTTTTTGTATTTTTAAATTGTATATATGTATATATTCGCGTATCCCCGTATCCATGTTTTTAGGAAGACGGTGTATCCCGGTATCACCGTATCGCGTATCCGTATCCGTATCAGCGTATCGGGGTAACGCAGTAGAAGAGTCGGCGGCTTCTTCCAGAATCCACAGACTTCTCGTCTGCAAGCAGTCATAGTTCAAATTTAAACTTCAACAAACTTAAATTTTAAAGTTCTTTTGGTTTTTTAATCATAGTTGATTTTTTACGTTAACTTTAATACCAGTTAAATATAGAAATATAAAAAATTTACTGCAAACTTTTTTCTTCGTTTATGGGTGTGTTTAGTTGAGGAAAAGGAAATTTTTGGGTGTCACATTAAACGTTTGACCGGATGTCGGAAGGGGTTTTTAGACACGAATGAAAAAACTAATTTCAGAACTCGTCTGGAAACCGCGAGACGAATCTTTTGAGACTAATTAAGCCGCCATTAGCACATGTGGGTTACTATAGCACTTATGGCTAATCATAAACTAATTAGGCTTAAAAGATTCGTCCCGCGATTTCCTCCATAACTGTGCAATTAGTTTTTCTTTTTATCTATATTTAATGCTTTATACATGTGTCCAAAGATTCGATGTGATGTTTTTTGGGAAAAAATTTTGGGGAACTAAACAGGCCCTATTTCTCAACGATAACTCTATCTCAAACGATTGGGGTATGGTGACAAAATTTGAAGAGAAAGAAAAAAAATAATTTAAAAAGACACTTCTAATATTCGAAATTGTTTGTGACTTGGAATATGGCCAAAATTTGTCAGCGTTGGGAGATTTATTATACAATTGATTAGGTCTATAAAATGTCCCATATCTCTCTCAAAATTCAAAATCCATCCATTTGCTCCATCGTTATATTATTTGACAAAATTAACCATCTCCATTCTTTTACCTCCCATCAACTTTCATAACTACTCTCAATCTTAAACCAGAAGGACAAGAATTACTCTCATCATAGTGATTACTACAGTTTTATTGTGCCAACCCTTGTAAACCTTCACAAATTTTTTTTTTAGAGTTGTCACTCACACGTTCATCAACTATCAACTAGCAAGCGCAGGATAGCCCGCCACAATCACCTAAAAAGACTAGAGCCCAAAAATACTATATTTCTTCGTCCCGGAAAACTTGTCGTTTTATGGTTGAGTGAACAAATTAACTACAAGTAAAAATTACCATATTACCCTTATTTAATCATTGCATTTGTCACTTCAGATAATCACTTCTAGTAGACCATCTATCGCATTGTACACACATAGATAGCACTAGTAGTGGCACGGTTGTATAGGGAAATAGTATGCCAAATAAATCGATGGAATAGACTAGGCTCAGCTCGTTGGTCAAGATGCTGTCAAGATGCTAGAACGATAAATTTTGTGGGACATTTTTTGAATAGCGGAATGACAGGCTTTCCGGGACGGAGGAAGTATTCCACTTACTAAATACCAATATACCTAAATCTGAGAAAAATATAAACCCATACTAGTCGAATAAAAACTACATTTTAACCCTACATTTTATCTGTTTATCTTACTTTTTCATCACATCAAAACTTTCCTACACACATGAACTTTCAACTTTTCCGTCACATCGTTCCAATTTCAACCAAACTTCTATTTTTTGTGTGAACTAAACACACCCTAGTTCGAAGATAGAACACACAAGCTCATGGGTGTGTTTGGCTGCAAACTGTGGCTAGTAGCCATTGGCTGTGCGCCGCAGCCGCATACACTGCGTGTAGCAGCAGCAGCTGTTTGGAAACTTGCAGCCAAACACAACCCATATCATCAGTACTTGAGTCGGTCTCACTGCTTATAAAAAAACATGCAAATCTTCCCCGACCTCTCATTCAAGAGTTGCCTTTATGCAATAATGTTGGCTGCCATAATCAATTTTAGTTTTTTTTTTGTCTCCTCTCTTAAGAGCTATCACTCATTTCATATAGGTTGCTTTATTGTTTCTGATTGCGTTTTATACCACTTCTCTTATACTATACTCAGATATGAAATAGGGAAGATGGATAAATTTGATAGGTTTCGTGATAGCGATGTCAGTAATTTGACGAGTTTTGTGATAATGATATATATGTAGAATGATGTGTTTTTTTTACTAAGACAATTCATTAGTACTCCATCCAATGTAAGTCATTCTAGCATTTTCCACGTTCATAATGATGATAATGAAACTATATAGATATATATGTCTAGATTTATTAACATCAATATGAATATGGCAAATGCTAGAATGACTTACATTGTGAACCGGAGGAAGTAGTTGATTAATTAAATGCCAAATTCATAGTAAGCCATATGATAGAAGATTGAAAATTTGTGAAAAAGGGAAGCAATTTCGCCTCGTTTTTGGATGCCCACAATCTTAACCAAGAACTTCAACTCGTGCGCCCCCAAAAAACCCCCACCTTTCTCTTATCCCCTCTATCCGCCGCTCGCCGGCCATCTCCCTCCCCCACCACCACCACCACCGCCGCCTCCTCTCCGGCGAGATGCTGACCTGCGGCCGCTTCCTCTCCTCCTCCGCCGCCGCCTCCACCCCCTCCCTCTCCCCCTTCCGGAACCTAACCCTCTCCCTCCTCCGCCGTCCCCATCTCCGCCTCCTCTCCTCCTCCGCCACCGCCTCCGCCGCCGCCGCCGCCGTCGAGCCCGACACCAAGGGTAAATATCCTGAACCTTCAAACTCGAGGGAACACCTCGCGGTTTGACAGCGAGAGCCGTTCTGAGCTGTGGGTGTATGGGTGGTCGCAGGTGGCGCGGGTGGCGGCGCCGCGAAGCCGCAGTGGAAGGCGGCGATAGACTTCAAGTGGATCCGGGAGAACACGGACGCCGTCGCCGCCAACATCCGCGACCGCAACTCCGCCGCCAACCTCGACCTCGTCCTCCAGCTCTACGACGAGTACCTCGCCTTGCAGAAGGTACAGGAGCCTGTTAATTAATTGTCATTTGCTACTGCTGCTGTTTGTAGTTTCTGAGATGCTGCTCTTGCGTGACTGCCTGCAATACAAGTTGGATGGATAAGATTTAAGCTTGCGCTGTAAAATTATAATGCAAAGCTCGTGATTCGCAAGACTTTTAAACTGTTGGATAAGACTTTTATGGAGCTTGTCATTGACTCATTGCTGCTGCTGCTGTTTGTAGTTTCTGATTCTGCTCTTGCGTGACTGCCTGCAATAGAAGTTGGATGAATTAAGATTAAGCTTGCACTGTGAAATTATATTGCTTTAGTTTGTGATTTCCAAGAGTTCAATAACTGTTCGAGATGATTGATAGAAAAATTTGCAACTTTCGTGTGAACTTAGACATGAACTGGTTCTTAACTGGCCTATTCATATGGTTAATTCATTGGCATGTGTTATGTTACTTTCTGACTATTAGTGAGTTGTGCCTATTGCAACCTTGTAATTTTGGGGGTAGCAAAATATTAGGAAGAACCAAAAATTGAAACTAGAAACTACTCTTTTTGGCCAGTAGTCATGGCTATTAATTGGTTATTTCGTTGATTATATTGGATCACTGATTGATTCTGCTTTACTGATCTTGTGAACTCAAAATTACTCATGGCTTCATGGACTTATCCTTGCCTGGACGACACTTTTGTTTATGGCGTAAATATGATACTGTGTTACTGCGATTTAACCTATTTTGGCATCAATGTCTCATTGTTCTACCGAAGACACGTGTGTATCTGCTTGTGTGTATGCTTGCAGTGATTGAACATAGTTGGTTATTTAATTCTGGACTGAGATATGGTGGCAACAATTCCTAATTATGACAGATGGCAGGAAGTTGAACGGCTCCGAGCTGAAAGAAATGCAGTTGCTAATAAGATGAAAGGGAAATTAGAACCATCTGTGCGTCAAGCCCTTGTTGAAGAAGGTAGAATGTTTATGAATTTATTTTCTAAAAAAAATGAAACAGCGATACCAACATAGTAATTTTTTTTTATAAAAAAATTGGATTGTTGCAGGCAAGAACCTGAAAGAAGGGCTTATTGCCCTAGAAGAGGACCTTGTTCAGCTGACTGATAAGCTTCAACTAGAAGCACAAAGCATTCCTAACACCACACATCCAGATGCTCCTGTAGGGGGTGAGGAAAGTTCTGTCGTCAGAAAAGAGGTAGTGGGATTTCTGTGTATCTAACTCTGTCTTTTCAGTTTGTCCAACTGCTAATTTTCTTTTACTTGAATAATGCAGGTTGGTAGTCAGAGAAACTTCAATTTCACCATTAGAGATCACCTTCAGCTGGGAAAAGAACTTGATTTGTTTGATTTTGATGCAGCTGCTGAGGTATAACTGCCACAAATCAATGTTAAACATAACTTTGCAGTAAGTTGTTCAATAGCACAGTTATATTTGAACTGGACAGAAGCCATTACCTGAACACTAACTCAAAGATGATCTACAATTGTAGCTCCTATATGAGCAGTTGTACTTCTTTTCACTTGTTCATTTTACCAAGGTTGTATACTGTCATTTTCAGGTTAGTGGCTCGAAGTTCTACTACTTAAAGAATGAAGCTGTTCTGTTGGAGATGGCCCTTGTTAATTGGGCCATCACTGAGGTCTCAAAGAAAGGTTTCACACCACTAATAACTCCGGAGATTGTAAGGTCATCTGTTGTTGAGAAATGTGGCTTCCAGCCAAGGGCCCAAAATACTCAGGTATATTGATCCAAGATACCTTTACATCCTGGTTAATAGATGAATTCAGCTTTTAGAGCTGGTTGTGTTAGGAGGATCTTATGCCCATAATTTCAAGAAAAAGGTGAGTAACTTTCTCTAGGATATGCTTTTGTGCTGTATGATGTGGCATGTTAAAGTCGTAGTTGGCTCCTAATTTATGAATTCTCTCCTAATTACACAGGATCAGATCAGCTATTTTGTCATCTTTATTTTCATTACATGATTTGGAAATTTCATCGATCTTTCATCGTGTGAAAGTAAACATTTATTTCACTAGTTAACCTTCTATTGTGTTTCTGTAGGTTTATTCGATCGATAACAGTGATCAGTGCCTCATAGGAACTGCAGAGATTCCTGTTGGCGGCATCCATATGGACTCTATACTCCCTGATTCTGATTTGCCTCGAAAATATGTAGCCTATTCACATTGTTTTCGCACAGAAGCTGGTGCCGCAGGTGCTGCCACTAGGTATGCATATTTTCTTGTTCTGTTAAGATTATGCATTGGAAATTGCTCTCCACTGATTTATGTAATTTGATCACAGTATGTTGATTACATATTGTATAGATGTGTGAAGATTTGTTCATTGGTTATTCAAAACTTTGAGATACTCCCTCTTTTTTTTATTTGATGTTGGTTAGTTCATTTTTGAACTAACGAACATTATGTAAAAGAGAATGGAGGGCGTAGTTTACAATTCTTGTATGAAGTTGCTAAGTTTTGGTCACTGCATCCTGAACAGGGGCCTCTACCGTGTACATCAGTTTAGCAAGGTTGAGATGTTTGTATTTTGCCGGCCAGAGGAGAGCGACAAGTGCCATGAAGAACTTATCACTATTGAAGAGGAACTTTATGCATCACTTGGACTTCATTTCAAGTATTCCCTGATCTTCTGAATTTGCATGTCATTATAATTTAGAGGCAACAATATCATGCTCTTTCTTGCAGAACTTTGGATATGGCGACTGGGGATCTGGGAGCACCGGCCTACAGAAAGTTTGACATTGAGGCATGGATGCCAGGCCTAGATAGGTACGGTGAGGTAAGAAACATTACTCAAGCCCTCTGCTTTTGAACTTATATTCAATTTGAAGCAATTGCCCTAACTTTTCCTAATCGAAACGAACAGATCTCGAGCGCGTCAAACTGCACAGACTATCAGAGCAGGCGGCTGGGCATCCGGTTTCGCCCATCACCTGCAGATCCTCCACCGGCGAACGCCAAGAAAGGAAAGGGCAGCTCAGGCCCAACACAGTTTGTCCACACGCTCAACGCGACAGCGGTTGCTGTTCCTCGCTTGATCATATGCATCCTGGAGAACTTTCAGCAAGAAGATGGAACGGTTGTGATCCCAGAGCCACTGAGGCCCTTCATGGGCGGACTTGAAGTGCTCTCCCCGAAAACCAAATGATCAGCTTGAAGGTCACCACGTTTACTTCGAATCTTGTTTTTTTTATAGATTTACAGTCTTTTTTTCCCCCGAGGATATTGGCAAGTGAATGTGCAGAATTTCAAAGAAATCTGTGGTCGATTCCAAATGTTCCATGCGAAATTCGTGGCTGTTAGTTGGCCACCGATTGTCGATTGTTGTTTTGGCAACATATCCAGGTTAACTATTTCCTCCTTGTCAAAATATAGCAAACTTGGAATGGATATATAGTCCAATGATTATGGACAAGGGGCTAGCCAGATTCTTTGGACTAGTATGCTTTCCATCAGTTTTAATAGTTTGCTATATTTTGGGATGGAGGGAGTAGTTGAACAAACTCAGTATTACACTTGTAGTTAACTGGTAACTCCACATATGCCCATTGTATTGGATATCCCTTGCGAAATATTTCCTCCGTCCCAAAGTATATGGTTTTTAGGTGGATGAGACATCTTAATACTATGAATCTGAACAGATTTAGTACTAGGATGTATTTCATTCACCCAAAATATGTTATACTTTGGGATGGTGGGAGTATTTGTCCACGGGAGAACTATACCGGAGTAGTTTGTGCTAGAACAATAGTACTAGTGCTTTGTCAGTTTAATATCTGTTCGTTTACGGCTGTGTTTAGTTCAGCACAAAGTTTGGATTTTGGTTGAAATTGGAGATGATGTGATTGAAAAGTTGTGTGTGTATGATAGGTTGATGTGATGAAAAAGGACTAAAGATCTAGACACAGTCTACATGATGCGAGGCATGCGGCTAGAGCAGCCAGCATTTTGAAATCATCAACCATGCTGGCAGTTTTGCTAGCGATTGATTGGGCCACGTGGTGTGCCAAAATTTGAGATAATTATGCAAATTACGGTGGTAAAAAAAAAATCTTTTCCAACGCGCTCGCCTTCTCGGCCCTTCGAGGCTGTCGAGAGCCCTTCTCTCATCCATCGTCTTTGTTAAAGTATGGAATTCTCACCCAGGGCTGCGGAACTCACGACTCTATTAGAAAGTAGAATAACCAACTTTTACACGAATTTTCAAGTGGATGAGATCGGTCGAGTGGTCTCAGTTGGAGATGCTGCGAGGCCATGGAAACTTAAAATAACAAAATAAAAAATAAAAAAATAACAATTAGTAGTAGTTAAGTTCCAGATTTCACACTGCAAACTTAAAAGAATACAAATGGATCGATAGGAATTTCATGGTAAACAGAGAAAAAGAACAACAAAAACAAAATCTAATTTTAAATGAATAAAATAAGAAGCACAAAGAGAAACTTAGAAAATATTGAAAAAAAAACAAAATTGTACGTTTAAATACTAAGCTATATATTATCATCACTTAATCTAAAGCTGATCGTCTCCGCGTCAGCTGATTGGTTAATAATTCACCCGTCAAATTCGTACACTTATCCCTTACTGTGCTGTGGAGCAAGCTCAGCAAGCTATCAGAGCATTTTACTTTGCAAAATTATAATGGCATGGTTCCAATTTACCCTTTTAGTTTTGAAGACCATAGTGGTAACGGTGCATAGGTGAGTACAAACACTCTCTCTCACTGCTTAAAAAATAATTTTCGCATACTAGGGTCATTTATTTTTCTAGACGAATATAACATTTGGTACCATTTCCCTGCATGCAAAATCAGGGACGGGGGACGATATGGTCGTCCGCTTGCGAAGATCCATCTTCACAGGCGGACGACATAAGGTGACATCATGCATCTTCCCAGGTGGAGCCTTAAGACATCCGCTTGGGAAAATGTAGGATTATCTCAGGCGGACATCTTAAGAGCTCCGCCTATACAGTATATTTATCACGATCATGCGTCGAGTCCCCCGCTATATCTTTGATCGGTTCCCCATGTGTACGTTTACATCGCTTGCACACACATTGTCACTTATACTACTCCCGTACAATTTCAGCTACAATTTGTTGATTTCTTTGTGTTGCAATCCTGGATCTCTATTGATTTTATATGAATAGATTAGATTTTGTTGACAGGTTAAAGTTATTAATTTATCGGTTACTCTGTTGTGTGAATTTCGATAGATACTCCTCAGTTCTAACTGAACTTCAGCCTAGAGCATCAGACTAACCAAAGGCAGACATCATTAAGGCCTCGTTTGGCACAGCTCTAGCTCTCAACTCCAGCTTACCTAGAGCTGGAGCTGTGCCAAACGGTATAGAATCTCTATTTTTTAGAGCGGAGTTGGGTGAGCTGCTCCACAAATTTGTACTACGGGGGTGGAGCTGGGTTTTTACTGCTCCACAGCTCCACTCCACCCCAAAAGATCCACTACCTTTTAATTTTTTAGCCTAATTACACCAAAATGCCACTCAACAACCCCTCATACCCTCTCTCTCTTCCTGTTCTCTCTCCTCCCCATCCTCCTCATAACAGCCGGCGTTGGCGGCGGCCGGCGGCTCGATGGTGTCGGAAGGCATGCAGTCAGCGGCGGCGGCGACGCACGGGCGGCGGCTGTAGGCGCGTAGGCAACGGCTGTGCGTGGGCGGCGGCGGCAGCAGCGGCCGGGCGCGGGAGGCGGGGCGGCGCGTGTGCGGCGGCGGCATTTCGTCGAACACTTGGGTTGACCGCCGGCTGTGGGGTCGGGGGCGAGCGACGGCGGCGCGCGGTCTAAGCGCCGGCGGCAGCGGCGGTAGGGCGATACCAACCAAGTGTTCAACGAAATGCCAACCAGGAATATGGTGGCGTGGAGCTCCTATAGGAGCTAGCTCTCACTGGAGTTGGAGGTTGGAGCCTTACTAAATGGGGCCTGAGTTCTGACTCTGATCTTCAGCTTAGATAGTCAGACTAGCCAAATATTTTTTTTCATTTTTTTACTCCAGTTAGTTCATTTATGGGATGAGGAAATGTTGGCATGTTTGTGTAAGATCTCACTGACCCCAAAATGTGCCTGGTTTTCTGTTTCTTTTTTCTTTTTTAAAAAAACTATGCGCCTACCAATCTTCCAGTTCCCAACCTGAAAGAAGCAGGCTAGCTCTAGAAGAGGACCCTGTTCAACTGACCATAGGCTTCAATTCAACTAGAAGCACAAAAGTATTTATTCATAATACCACGTATCCTTTAATTTATCAAAGATTACAAGTAATAGATTAACACATATCTTCCACACGGAAAACGGAGCTGATTAATTAAGTATTATCTATAAAAAAACTTAAAAAATGTATTAATATGATTTTTTAAAGCAACTTTCGTGTATAAACTTTTTGCAAAACCCGTACCATTTAGCAATTTGAAAAGCTTGTACGAGGAAAACGAAGGAGATGAGCGAAGTGATGGGAAAGAACACAGCCTTGCGTAATTCGTGTCGAATTCGTGTCAAGTTTTGGCCTACTACCACTTGTCGCTTGCTGTTTTCGGCAGTGCATAATCCAAGTTAAAACTATCCGATTCGAACCCCCGCCTTGGATGATTCCGATTCCGATTGCGAGTCTGGAACAACACGAACCCGCCTCAAACTCGGTCGATCTTTCTTCTCCTCTTCTTCTTTTCGACGAAACAAATCCTCCAAAATCTTCACGCGAGGCGCAGGTTGAGAGATCCACCCATGGCCAGCGGCGACGAGGAGGGCTCGGGCTCGCGCTCGCCCAGCAAGGCGGCTCCGGCTCCAGCTCCGGCGAAAAAGAAGAAGACGAAGACGACGACGACGACCTCGGCGATGGCCCCGCTGCCACTAGCGGAGGTGAAGTGGATCCTCGCGCAGAAGCGAGAGCCCTACACCAACCCGGACGACATCGAGGGCTTCAAGATCAGCAGCAACCCCAACAACGACAACGACGACGGGTTCCCGGAGGAACTCAAGGCGAGCTGCAGGGACTCCATCCGCAGATCGAACATCCTCCGCAAGGTCGCGGACGACCGCTTCTTCGAGTACCAGAGCGAGGTCAGGGCCGCCATGGAGTCCAGCGGCCGCTTCTTGGTCGACGCCGGCTTCTTCGAGCGCAGGGCGAGGGGTCGCGCCAAGCTTAACGAGGCATGGGCGAAGTTGCGCGATGGCCTCCCGCTCTCCGACTCTGACAGCGATGCGGATGAGGAGGATGACGAAGACATGGCATTGCTGGCTGCGATGGGTTTAGAATTCGATTGAGAAGAGAAATCGATTTAATTGTTATTATTATTATTACCAACAAGGAAGGTAGTCCGCATATTCGCGCGGGCTTGTACAGTAGATTGCGTTGCTTAAATAATTGTTTAATCTATTTGATAGATTTATACCGTATAATATTTAATTCATCCCTATAAGCAGCAGATATCTATAGTCTTCTTCATCATCTAAGATAATGTAGACTTAGTCTATTTAGAAAACATATATAATAAATTAAATGTAAATTAAAAAAAGGTGTTTTTGGAAAAAAATAAATGTTTAGGGGCTAACTTTTTTTTTATCAAATCTGTTTATTTTCTACTAACACTTGTGTTTTATTTGGCATAAACCTAGCCCATTTTACATTGATGCAATTTGTCACTTACAGATAAGACAGAGCATATTTCTGACTTAGAAATTACTCCCTCTATTCCAATTTGATCATCACTTAAGCAAAGGATGCTGAGACCAAAAACAACAAAACCTCCATGGTTCTAAAATTATTTTCATCAATCAAGGTGTTGATTGCATTACGCTGTAAATATTTCGTGGAGTTACACCAAGATAATTTTTTTAGGTTACACCAATAGAAATTAATTTTGGCTAGTTGCATGCATGAGCTTATTCAACGATGCCCATTTACTCTTTACACAAAAGTCATTTGTTATATGATGATTATTTAAGGGAGATATAAAAACCTTGGATGAGATCAAACTGGCATGGAGGAACGATGGTGGGAGTAGTAAATATCAAGTTGTACATGTAGGGGTTGTTTGGTTGCATGCCACAAGTTGCCACGCCAAAAGTTAGTCATTGCCACAGTTTTTTAGCTATTGTTTGGTTCATGACACAACTGTGGCTAGCCACATATTTTCTCTATATGGCCCCACATGTCATACACTAGTATTTTTTGCTAACTTTGGCTAAGTTGTGGCTAGCACCACACATTTTGTGGCAGCCACACCTTGCCTAATATGGGGTTTGGCAAAGTTAGCAAGCAACCAGATATCCTAGTTATGACCTGAACAATTAATGTATCTGGAGTCATCTTAGCATGGAGTTATAATTTTTAGATTTTTTTCTAATGATAAAATAATTCATAAATTTAAAATTCAAAAAGTATGTGCTCTACTTGGAGTTACAATTTTAATTTTTCATGATTTTATAGTTTGGGAAGTACAACATATAAAAATAAAATTGTACTCATCTGTAACTCTCAATTGTAATATTTTATTAACTTGAGAACTTATTTTAAAATTAACCATTAGTAAGTTATTATGATTTGGTGTCACTTAAATATATGCAAACTTCAAAATTAGTAATAATAAGAAAGTGTCACAATTTATTACTTATATACAAGTAGTGCAAATTTGTTAGGTTACTGAATGACCACGATGTCGATCGTTTCATACCATTAACATGGAAAGAAACAATTTGGAAGTTCATGATGTCGTTTCATATCAGAAACATGAAAAGAAACAAAACTTGGATGTTGGAACGGAAATTTTCTTTGAAAAAAACAGCAACAATAGTTTGCAAATTTCAGTTTGGATCAAATCTTAATTGATAAAATAGTGCCGGAGTGGTAGAAGTTGGGGGACGCGAGAGTCTGGTCGACATCAACGGACTCATGGTTATGGCTGCCCTTGTAGCCGATCATCTAGGGCAACTGGGCAGGCCGATCGCCGGTGAAAGAGATTGACGTACCTAGTCAACGTTTCATGGTGCGTGCAGAACCCTACTGCCTGGAGGAGTGCGTTGGTTTGTGATTAACTCATGCCCCATCGCGCGTAAGAATTGTGGAGTGTGTTAATTTTTTTTATAGATTTAAAGTGATTAGCAGGCAAGGAGGATCACAAATGGATTAACTTTTTTTTTTCTCACAAATCTAATCTAACAGTGTAAAATAACGGGTTCACCGGTTTAAGTGAAATCCAAGGGCTAGATGTTTTGCTTTTTTCTTAGAATTTCTAAGAATTTATCTAATTTATTAGAGCGCCACTTGGCGTCTTAGGAGCGTTTATAGGACGCTTAATGGACTTTTAGTATATAATAGATAGATAGATAGATAATAGATGCCATCGAGTATATATTATGTTTGTCAGTGTTCTATCTATCTATTATATTTATATATGGCTATCCTAGAACATGAACATGATGGGAAGTGAAATTACCAATGTTTTATTAACTCTGCTATATATGACTGTTGTTTAGTTGATGCCCATCTGTGTTATCAGTCCAACAAGGAAGCTCTGCAACATTTTTCTTGCGCTTCAGTTAATCTTGTTTCTTGTTTAGGTGTATTTCTTCACAAAATTGTTTGTCCTGTATAGAGTTATTGCCTATGAATTAGACTGGAGTATGTCCAACCAATCTTTAGAGAACCTTGTTGTATGCATGCTATAGAATTCTGGATAAATCTAAGACCCTCTCCTGCACTAATTCAAACACTTTTGCTGGTTTGTTCTCGTGATCTCGTCAGTCACACTAGTTCATGGAGTGGACTACTGATGTTTGATCATGGTATGTTGGATGGTTGGTAGTAGATTATTTTCCTCTTGAATCAGTCAGTCCTTACTAATTTGATACTACTTCAATGGCATATACCGCATATGTGTTGGTAGCATGTCAAAGTTATTAATTTATCGGTTACTCTGTTGTGTGAATCTCGATACATATTCCTCAGTTCTGACTGACCCTGTTTAGATGGGACTAAGACTTTTAACTCCCTATCACATCGGATGTTGGACACTAGTTATAAATATTAAACGTAGACTATTAATAAAACCCATCCATAATCTTGGACTAATTCGCGAGACGAATCTATTGAGCCTAATTAATTCATGATTAGCTTATGTGATGCTACAGTAAACATTCTCTAATTATAATTAATTAGCCTTAAAAATTTTGTCTCGCAAATTAGCTTTCATTTATGTAATTAGTTTTGTAAGTAGTCTATATTTAACACTCTAAATTAGTGTCTAAATACAGAGACTAAAGTTAAGTCTCTGGATCCAAACACTACCTTAAGCCTAGAGTATCAGACTAACCGAAGGCAGAATTATTGAGTTCTGACTTCAGTTAGTTGATTTATGGGATGAGGTATGTTGGTATGTTTGTGTAAGATCTCATTGACCCCCAAAATGTGCCTGGTTTTATGTTTCTTTTTTCTTTAAAAAAAACTATGCGCCCACCAATCTTCCAGTTACCAACCTGAAAGAAGCAGGCTAGCTCTAGAAGAGGACCCTGTTCAACTGACTATAGGCTTCAATTCAACTAGAAGCACAAAAGTATTTATTCATAATACCACATATCCTTTATTAACGATTACAAGTAATATGAATATAAGATAAGTAAAAGACATTAAACTTGGACCCCTATGCGGGTCTCCGCGTGGACTGGAAATGAAGGATCACCCCGCCCCCGCGAAAATCGACGGGGACATATCTCCTTCCATTTATTTTCTTATGGAGAACCAATTCAAACCATTCCCGTCTCGTAACAGGTGAATTCACCGCGCGGAAACAGAAAACGGGCCCCTTGCCCATCTCTACTCTTATGAAGTTGCTAAGTTTTTTTGTCACTACACGCTGAATAGATGTTTTTGTGCTTTTCCAGCCTGAGGAGAGCGACTAGTGCCATGAAGAACTAGTTCATCACTGTTCAAGTGGAACTTTATGCATCAGTTGGATTTCATTTCAATATTTCCTGATCTTCTGGATTGACATGCAAGTCATGCCACAACTCAAAATAATAAACAAGATTAACGCAAGCATACAAGATGATTATATATCAGTAATCTTATTATATTCAAGACTAATGATGCGCTCGATGCACTCAATAGGAAAACAAGATTGATGGAAAGCAAACAAGATCATTAACTTTTGGACCAATCAAAATTAATACTAACAAATGATGAGATCTTAAGACATATTACTAGTGCATGTAAAAGAAACAATCATCAATCTTATACTACCTCCTTACCTAATATAAGGATGTTCACTATTTTATTATAACGTTTGACCACTCGTCTTATTCAAAAAATTTGTGCAAATATAAAAAATAAAAAGTTGTGGTTAAAGTACTTTGGATAATAATAAAGTAAGTCACAAATATAATAAATAATAATTATAAAATAGTTTTAATAAGATAAATGGCTAAACAGTGCTAGTAAAATGTCAAAATTTCTTATATTAAGGGACGGAGGGAGTAGTATATGTCTCAATTTGGTATTTGATTTCATCAGAGACCCATGAACGAATCCAGGTAATACGGGAACAAATTATCCCAATCCATTTCTTGGTGGTCGCCGTCGTAGTCGTAGTCGTCGTCTTCCTCGTACTCCACGCTCGCACCAACATCAACAAGAAATCCACGGTGATTCTCCCATGCCCAGAACCTCCTCTCCTCGACGAAGTCCTCGTCGGCCATGACGCGGCCGCATGAATCCATGGCCCTCCCAGCGGTCGCGCCTTCTCGTCGGCTTCGTCGTCGTCCTCCTCCCGGTGTCCTCCACTCCTCCCAGGCGAGGATCCGCGCCACCTCCGCCAGCGACAGCACCACCTTCTTCTTCGCCGTCGACTACGTCTTCTTCGTCATCACCGCCGACGTCGGATCCTCCGTCTCGCCGCCGGCTTCCTTGTGGCAGGTGACTGACACCGCCGGCGATCGCCTCCGACGAGCCCTCCTCGGTGGAACCGGCGAGGACGCGAGACTACGAAGATATATAGGCAGGTTAGTTTGTTTTTTTGACATTTCTCAGTTTTTTTTGGTAAGGTGGGTATGGGTGCAAGTTTGACTGATTTGTTACCCTGTGTTAAGCTTTTTGTGAAAAGGAAGTTTATAAAATGCCAAATTAAGTTGAAAATTCCGTTTGGATAATCGTTCTGTTAAATTTTGGTTGAAGATAATATCTAAGAGTTTTGGTTAGAGGGCTCCTGAAGTTCTTTTTGCTCCTGCTATTTTGGATGATGAGTTTATCTTTTGTTTCTTTCTTGTTGGCTGTGTGCACTCTTTAGGTGCAGAAGCTGGAGGTGTTCTCAGAATAATTGTATCACCTGATAGTGCTGAGATTAATAAAGCTTCCATTATATAAGAAAACTTCTAACTCTCTCCATCCTAAATTGATCATTATATATAATTTGCAGTTTTGCAGTGCACGCCTCTCCTCTCCTCTCATCCCCACCCCGTCGAGCCGCCGTTGTACTGAGCGCTACCTCTTCGCCAACGCCACCGCACATCGGCTCGCCAGCCGCCACAACAATGCGGTGCTCGATCATGATGAAGGCAGCGGTTAATTTGCTCTGGGCCGTTAGCCGGAGCTCGCAGTGGCGCCAGGGTTTAATCATTCGGTTTGGACGTTTCTGTCGGAGGGTGCTGATATACCGAAATTTCCGTAATTTT